CGAGTTTGTAAAGTATAGAAACCTCTTGTATATACCATTACCACTATTTTGATTGGCTAAAGAAAGATAACACGTAACCGCTTTTCGGCAACATGGTATTCGTTTTATATCTGCTTTGAACAGAGAAAAAAACATGTGCCCTCTCAGTCATCTGATCACAATCGAAAATCCGTATTCATTTTTTTCGCGATTTCGGCAATCGTTATTATTAAGGGTTTTCGTCGACTGAAAAATAAACATCGTTCTGTTAATTATATATTTCAGGCCATGTTCTTTATATCCTGCCATAATTAGCAAATCTTTATTAAGCAACCCATGATTATAAAATAGCTTTGCTTATCATTTGTTGCTGAATCTTGTGCTATCGCTTGTCAATTATAGCAGAGACGTAAGGAACATATTTAAAAAAAATTTAAATTTTAAAATTAAACATATTAAAAATGTTTATAAAGAAATTAGCCACGTTATCAGCGCAAACTAACAGAAAATAACTTATCATAAATCACAATTAAAATTCAGTCGGTAATAAATGGCGCTAAGGTGATGCCATGCAGAACAAAAAGATTTGGTCGCGAGAGTTACCTTAGATGACCGTATAACGATGTTGTTTTATAAGCGGAAGGTAGAACAATCAAATTTAATAAAAAAAACGGGGGTTACGACACCCGTAACACATCAAGTTCATTAGACATCTCTAAAGACTTCTAAGTTGGTTACTCGATTACACTATACTATCAACACTTATTACACCTGTTCGAGTATTCCGGACAATTTCGAATTTGAAATAAACGAAAACTCAACATATCATAATTAATACACAAAAGTAAAATAAACATTCATCGAAAAAGTTATTATTCAAGAACAACAACATAATCGTATAATTCCGCCCAAACCCCGATGTTCGCAAGTGAGATGATAAATAAATACTTTCCGTGTATTTGATAAATCAACTTCTGCAAACAGTCTTGGTGCAAAATATTTCCATTCAGTGATATGCTTACAAATATTCTCTTCCTTAATATCATAACCTCGCCTATAGGACTGGGCAAAATACTCGTATCGTTTCAATTTCATACTTTGCGCCAAAAAAGGCACCAACAAAGCTTCCTAATTTTGGAAGAGTCAAAATAAATAGACTATTCGAAATAAATATCCCAGATTTCAAACTCCGTATATTGGCAGCATGAATTAGCCGTTTCATGTAGGAGCCGCACATACAATTGATTGTCGAAAATTAAAAGGTAAATTGACGTTCCGAGAGCCCACACATGGTATAACATGTACAGGTTATAACCAGAAAAAAATGACAATTCATAATCCTTTTAATGTGCTTTCAATTAGCTCGTTAGTGATCCCTCCCATCCTTGGCCAAGTAATGTTTCGAAAATGTGAACCTCTGACTCAGCCATGCATGGCGGGTGGAGTGTTGAAATCGTGAACAAGAGTATAACGTAAAATCAATCGTGAATTTCGATGTAACAACGCACACTGTCGCCGTCATGAATTGCGCCTAGGAACATCGGAAATGATTAAATTCGTGATATTTTGAGTATTTTTGCACCAATAATTAGGGCGTGATTATCAAAATGGTGAATTTGCAAATTCCGTAAATAAAATTGTAACATTTTAGCTAGAATTATCACCGGGCAGGGGCGCAGCCAGAATTTTTTTTAACGGGAGATTAGGGGGAAGTTAAAACATTACACCAAAACTGCAATTAGCGACGACGTAATGCGTTTATAACTAAAATGTAAGGTCGTTCACGGCGAAATTTCGCAGTTACGTGTAGCCCGCCTTTCTTTGCCCAACGGTCCGAAGTCCTATTTTTAAACATCGACCATTTCGACGCATGAAATCCAAATTGGGCTAAGTCCATTTTTCTAGTTTTGAGAAAAACGCAAAATACGTTTTTTTTTTGTTTCTTTTTTTTATTTCTCTAATACCTCACATCGAGGATGTCTAGTTTTTATGGTCCACCAAAGTTACAATGAAGGCCATATTTAGATGATATAAAAAAATTTGTGCTCCGCCCCAATTTTTTTGGGGGAGGGGTTTTTCTGGACTCAACCCTTTTTGGCTCTCAATTTTCTGAACCAGAAACAATTTTATTGGACTTAGGGCCCCTTTATTATGTTATTATAGAGGCTGGTATGGACTCAGTGCTTTGTATTATATTTTTTGAGAGGAGCTATGTCCAAAAAAACGGACTTAGCCCAACTTACAATGCAGTTATCCAGAGCTAAGTCCACTATATTAGACACAGCTCTGTTTAGTTCTCAAATGCCCTAAAAAAGGCAGGGTTATGTCCATAGCTGACTTGAGATCTAGAGCACCTAGAGATAAGGCAAATAGACCAAAATGTAGAGCTAAGTCCAGGAAAATCAGCAACTGAAAAATGTCATTTTTTGGAAAAGTGGACTTAGCACTGTTTGGTTTTGAGGTGTCGATTTATCCGTAGTCAGCGGGCATCCGCATCTAGAAATGAAACATTAAAAATCGCGAAAATTAAATTTGGAGAGATCTATAACTCGCAGATGTCAGTAGTGTCATCATGGTTTATATGTACAAAAACACGCTCGCATGTAGCGACGATCAAAATCATGAAAATGTGAAACTATTACTTGAAAATTATTGTTAATGAAGTTAAATTTTTATTGTCATTCAATGATTATTTCATAATTTTGTCATAATCGAAGGCTGCAGTAAATTTTTTGTCGCTGCGATCGTGTTGTTAAACTATATTAAAGCATGTTTTTATTCACTAGCAAATATTAATTCTCACGTAACGGCGGACATCGTAGTTTGGTTTTTATATTTAGGATAGAATTGTGAATTCACATCGGCGAAGATTTTAAAGACAACTATTAATGAGCGCATTCACAACAAAAATTGATTTTGTTCTGATTTTTATCTTCTGTGTAGGATTTGTATCAGTTCGTAAATTACGGTCCCGAGTTTAAGCGAACAATAATATTATTACTGACCCCGGGATGCGATATTTGTGAAGCAGATAGTTGACATTTCTATGCTTTTAATTTTAGATCGTGTCTGTGTTACTTTCGTATGAAATAATAATTGAAAAACTCCGCAAATTGGTTATCTCTTGAGTACTCAGTGTTAAGTATTTACGTAACTCAGCTTTGGGTTAAAACACTGATAGTAACTAAACACGTGAATAAATCGGCAATAATGGCATTTCGACATGGTCAAAATAATATTTCTCACCAATATCTCATGAAAGTTCCATAAAATACATTATTTACTTGTCTTACTTATCGACGTTTCTAAATTTACAAAAACGATGTTGACACGCTTTATACAAAATCGTTTCAAATTTATTGTTTCTACATGTTAGCGATAGCCGTCTGGTTAATTCTTACCCGTAACTCATTGTAAAGTAATGTTAATAAATTGTGTTTTGCTTTCCAATGCGCGGTTAACCGCGGTTAAATTCGTTCGTTTTCCGGAATTGCAATCAACAATTACACATTTTTTATTTATCATTATCAATACCGAATAAAAAAAGATAACATATCGTGAAGACGAAAAAAGTCGTTGAAACTTAAGTTGAATTAGTTGCAATTAGCGCCTGATTAGGCACCAGAGCACTCGAGCCCAATGTTTTTAGCATTAGTCGCATATGTAAAATATCCTCGTCTTATGGCCACGCAGAAATGCCTTTATTTCCGAATTATTTAATCACAATTTTAAATCAACATTCAGGATTGGCACAATCTCAGATTTGCGAGGTTTATCTGTAAATTAATACAGACACCATAAAAAAATTATAAAAGTTAATTATCGTATTAAATATTTGCATTCCGGCATCGATAATAATAATACCATTCGCTTTAAATTGGGACAGTAAATTTACAAACGTTGATAGGTAATATCAAGTCAACGCAAATGTTTATTTTAGTTTTGAAATTTGTCGTTGATGCCCTTAACAGCTGTTGCCGATGTGAACGCACGCGAAAGCCTGGATTGCCAAACCCAGGATATAGTCGCCAAAACGATTGCGGTGACAAAAACAATTAGCTATTATAACGAAATTAACCAGTAGAAAAGGCTTCCTTGCTAATTTTTCGACCGACGTTCCAGACTCCTGCTGTGCATAAAAATATTCCTCATTCGTTAAAAATATTCAATTCGAAGAAATATTCGATTTTGCCCACCCCTACTCGCATATTAATGAGGAAATAGTTTAGATTGATTTTTGACCCTGGTCTGAGTTTGATTTATCGTGAATGACTAGACTAGCTAATACTGAATATCGCAAAATTCCGCGAAACGCCATTTGCTTTTAACATTCGTGGTTACAATAAAATGGATGTTAAATGTTAATACGACGTATGTATTTTGTCAATTTGGCGATTTTGCAAATCTGTGAGATGCTGCTAAAAGTTTCTTCTAATTTACCAAACAATGGCCCAAGTTTACATTCCATTACTAAACAATGTCGTGTCGAGTATCAGAAATTTCTGAATGGCACCAGTAAATTCACTAAGAAGAGAACACAGACCTGTCAAACCAGTACTAGAAAATCGTGTAATTTGGTCACAATTCATCGATGTCATTGACAGTCACATGACCACTCTCGTTTAGAGAAACGCACTGCCTTGCATTCGGACATCTGGTTTCAAAGACGCCGCCGAGCGTTTTCGCGGTCGAAGCGGAATCGGTGTGCTTGTATAATAATCATATTATAAACAAGAATTTTGCCATTAATGCAAAAGCTTTATCTTCCATGTCTTCACCACATAGGTTAGAATTCCGGTAAATATCGTTATGATATGCAGAATTGAGTTACAAAAGTACTAGTATGTTACTTAATTGTCAACTTAATACGCACACAAAAACATTTGTCAACTTTGAATTTTTATTCCATTCAAAATCGAAAAAAAGTGCTATTTCTCTTCAAAATCGGAAAAAAGTGCTATTTCGCGGTCCCTAAAAAAAGTGCGCTAATAGTGAACACTGCTGCAGGGCATAATTTGATGTTCACAAATTGTATATAAGCCTGTGGAAAGTCTACTTTACAAAACCAGCGGCGTTCATTCATTGTTTGGTTCAACAACTGAACTGAACCACAATAAACAAATATACACCTACAATAGTAGTAGTATTGTATTGTATCCTACAATACTAAGGTAAAAATCAGGCCGACTTGGGAATCTAACTATAACTGGAAGCCAAACAAATGTAAAAAAAGGCAGTGAAAAAATCGTACAAATCACTTCAAATATCTAAGGAATGGAAAGGAATTGGAAATACGCAAGTTGTAGACTCGTAGTCAACCGAATCACGCTACCCAGAAAGAGTACACAGCCATACGCCGATTGAATTTTCTCACGCGGAAGACTAACATACTGTCTGTCATTCATGCAACATGCTTGTTACGCAGAAGAATAGTAAACTTCATCAATAAGTGACATAGCCGTGAAACTACGGCCACAATACAGGCGGTGCGTAGATTTTGAGATTTACTAAACTACAGTCAAACAATTACCCATGCTAAAATTAAAATTTTGCCTACAGCAAACAAATACCATTTTTTTCATGATATAATCTTGAAAAAAGACGCGCAATAAGCAAAGAGCGGGATCGAAACTGAATAGGCATCCATCGCTAACCAGTACAAAAACATTTTCTGAGTTAAACTACTTGTGCTTGAAATCTGATCTATTAAACAACGTATACTTATCTTGTACGTACAATCTTCCAGATTCATTGTATCTCGCTGAAATCCAGTCATTTACTATTCTGTAGCACGAAAGATATCCTTGCCATTCCTCCTGAAATCGATAACGAAGGCATTTATGTTACATTACAATGTTAAATTCATCAGCAAAGTGGATTTAAGCAAAAATACTACAGACTACTCATTGTGAAAGAATGCAAATAATTACCTATCACATGCGAAATACTGTAAAGAACAAGGATGGCTTTATAATTTCCATTTCTTCCTAAAAAAAGACGCCAGAAATATGTCATATTACAATATGAAATTGGGCGGCAAATCTCAAGAAATTGAGCCAAGGTATTATATATTACTTAGAAACAGATAATAGACATAATTACCTTTGCATCTTGCAGGCAGACTATCGAGAAAAGCTGATAAGAATGCCGAAGCTACGAGCGTCCAAGGCGAGACTCCACCTGATCTAACTGGATGTGAACGCAAGGTCGAAGCTGAACAGAACACGTGTAACGATTGCATTATGGGTAATTGCGCTTGGAGTCTTATGGATGACTGATATATTCGGAACGCAAATATTCAAGGATTTAACACGGGGTTTCTTTACAAACATTCAAATTTTGCTTTGGTAACTAGACAGAATCAACCTTCAATTGCACAATTTTTGATCCATGTTTTGCCCAATCTACCCCTATCTTTCTACTTTTCCGAAGCTTCTTAAAGTATACCAACCACACGACTAGATTCGGAGGTAGAACAAGAACTTGTTCTCAAGATTTCTAAGAAGTGTTTTCCACCCGCGACCGATCAAAAATACACCCAGTCGGTAGTTCTGGGATCAAATACTCTTGCATCGAAGAGGCGGTTGCAATACACTAATGCAAGCACCTGATCTGTGTCTGCAAGTGGTCTCCAAAATTAGGACCTAGTCTGAAAATAAGACTCCCTCCCCTTAGAATAAGACCTAGTCGAAAGTGAATAACGTGTTATATAAAAGTAAATAGATATCGATTCTCATATTTTGTATCTTTGAAAATCTCGTATTTCTCTACTTTGTAATTTTGTTTCAGATAAATGATGAAGAAATCTAAATAACGTAGTTTTATTTTTCGAAAGAAAATTGAAATAGGATCCTGTCCTTTTTTCAGGGAATCAATGAGCCTTTACCGAGCTATATTGTATTTCCATAAAGAAAGCTACTTTCTGTTATATTCAATTCGTTAGAATTGTATAAATCTACTTCGAAATCTTTATTTAATGAGTGGCATAAACTCTATGAATATACCATTGATTTTACATGAATTTTCACATTATTTGATCCTTTTTTAATAAAGTTAATGAATCAGACACTTACAGTATTTGACTTCGCAGTGATTTGAGTTGTTTGTCGCTATCAAATTTGGGTTTTACTGTTAACAAGGAAACTGTGATGAACAGAAGAATCTGCCTTACCCATCAGCCGGACATGCCGACACGTTATTTTCCATATTTGCCTGAAATAGCTACGATCAGAAAGAAGTGAAATACCATGAGTGTCCAATGATATAAATTCTATTAAATAATGTGCAAAATCTAGTAAAATGAATGTAAAAAAAAAAACGAGTAAATTAAATGTTTTAATGAAGATTACGCATCTGATCAATGCAAATTTACAATCTATTATAAATGTTGCAAACCACATCTGACCGAAAACATAAGAATAATGGCTTTATTATTATTTTAGAATATCGATACTTTTGCGCTATCAAATCGCAATTATATAAGTAAATTTATTTACAAATTAAAGAAGACGATTTTGTTTCAATAAAAAAAATGATTTATTCTGATTCATGCCATAAAACATTATTACGTAATTTTCAGGTCCGTGTCTTGGTCTGTCAGACTTGTCTAAGTTCAAATCCTTATCTAAAGGCATGTCACCATTTAGTTTTATCTGGAATGCAAAGCCTGAAGACGCGTTGATTGCGCAGTAAGTGAAAAAGAGATTCGGTAAAAATACGTAACCTATTTTTAAATATTACAATTAGGTAATTATGCTTGTTGTCAATGTCTCAAAATTCATATATTTGAAGCAAGTTTGGGACGAGAACAATTTTCGGTACTTCTGATGTATGTGTACCAACATGAACCCTAACCTGGTACACAACCGGAGTTCGGGTTGTGCGCCATCTTGGTGCGTGTACTACAGGAGGTCCCAATTTTCTCATTCTGCATTGTCATCAGGGCGATGTTTATGAGTGCATGCTGATGTGATACGCAAACGTAAATCATGATCGCAAGCTTTTGTAAAGACATTGGTTTCCACGTTATACATTTCAATTTGTCTATAAAATCACTTACGAGCTATTACGTATACTCGGTTGCCAACAACACATGCAATGCAGTTGTACAAATTCTCCATCGACGTTGTTGTAAAGTCTGTCCATGAATTGTATTTTGGGTCGTACCGTGAAACTACATTACAATGCTGTATGCTAGATGTTCCAAGCGCGTAAAATTTGTTTTCAAACGCCGTATATACTCCTACAACATCCAATAGAGATAAGGATTCCCACGTTCCATTATCTGGGTCGTACTTCGTCGCTGGGCTATTCGTTCGATATTCAATAGCATAAATGTATTTATCGGTTGCCGCCGTACAAAGTTCCCACCCCAACCCACATCCAGGCAAACTTTTTTGCAAAATATTTTTCTGATGCCATAACGAACCATTCCGTGAGACTCAATGATGTAGACTTGATTCAGAAAATTCAACACTTGAGCAGCTGAGCCTGGCTCTGTTATCATTTCCGCAATTTCAATCCAGTCTTTACCTTCTTGGTATCGAAAGATCTTTTTATCTCTCACCATAAACAATTCACCATCAACAATCTGAATATTAATTCCTTTCTCCCACTCTCGCTTTGTTTAATCCAATCCATCGCAAATTCAATTCTTTATTCCTCACTGCAAAATTTTGTTTCGGGATGTTCAAAAAACACAAAGTTTACTTCAAAAGGCAACTGTCCAAAGTCTAAAGCAGGGGTTCCTAATTTTTTTTAGTGGCGCCCTCCTTGAAAGTTTAATGAAAACTCACGCCCCCTCCTAAAAAAAGTCAAGAAATGTTAAATGAACGTTGTCATCAATGGGAAGGATGTAGCCGTTTTTCGGAAACCAGGAGTTTGATTCTGGGTTTCGTTGTGGACAATGCACATCGAAGGTCGGCTTCACAGTCGAGTTTGTTACGAGCTTTTGTTTTGACACTCACGTGTGCAGAGAAGCCACTTTCACATATATGAGAGGCAGAAGTGGTGTTAGAGTACGCAACGTCATATTACCAACATTTTTATACACGCCCACGTATTTCACCCAAAAATCGTTGAAAGGCATTAGCTCGAAGTCATCTTTTGTAGTGGAGTTGCACTTCATCTCCAAGAATTCCTCCTGCAAAGCGTCGGACAGAATGCGTCGAGGGTAGGAAATGATGCCGCGTTTTCCCTTTGAACTTGGTTAAGCCACAGCTCAAGTTTCGCTATAAACGTGTATGCATGGCATCGTAGTGATCTATGCGGCTCGTATTATCCGCTTTGGTGGTGGTGTCATGGGGTCTTAGCTTATTACTTATTGATTTTAATCGGTAAGTATGTTGATGGTATTTGTCTGTCTGTATGTATATCTGTATGTCTGTTAGATGCACGCGATATCTCACAAAAGCGAGATTGAATCTGCTCCAGATTTTGCATGTGCATTCATCTTATCTCGGACCAGAAGCCTATTGATTTTGCGCAAATGTCGTATAATTAGCGAGTAATTAATTAATTAGTGATGGGACACAAGGTGTCACTATGGAGTAAGAGCGCTGTTTTGGGGATCCCCTAACTTTCGATCGATAAGTCTTCGGTCTCTGACCGATATTCTCGTTTTTCGTTTGACGGTCCACGTTTAAGAATCACTGTTCTAAAGTATCCGAGACTTGATTAAAATGTTTCCTGATATATTTATCTGCTGCTTCATTTATCTCTGCCATGTTAGTTGGAGAATACTCTCGGACAAGATCCTTTATAGAAATGCAATTCTGCGTAGAGATGAGTTTTGAAAGTTTTTTGGCATCTTTAAAAACGGCGTCAGCCACCATCTTGTGCACCTGTTTACAAGACTGTACCAGGGAATCCTTTAACACCTTATCCAAGAGAAAACCCACTGGGTACTGAGACACATCCATGAGATCTTTCAAGTGAGTTTGAATTGTTTCTTCATTTTCAGCGTTTCCTTTAATCCACAGTTTGACTACTTTCCACTTCCTGTAATAATATATCTTTGATGCTTCTAAATATCGCTTTAAGTCCGACTTACTAATAATCAGCAATTTCCCGGGGTAACGGTAACACATTGTCGAGTTCTTTAACTATAAATTCTGGGATATACTTGTCAAATTCGCAATCGTACTTTTGGGTGATTTCACGGAATTGAATGCAGTTTTCAACATTCACATTTTCTCGCAAAAATATGGAACAGAGCGATCTTAGTCGAGTAAGTTCCATCAAGGTCGCTTCATGTAGAATGCTTTCCACATTTTCCAACGTTATATTAGCTTCGCCAGTGTACATGAAGTCAATGCATTGCTTTACCGCATCGGGATCTGATTCTTTCATATCAATATATTCTTTTCGTGTTTCAATCATTTCGCTTTTGAACAAGGCCTTGAAATAGTTGGAACAGGAAACTAAAACGTTACGATGAACAGGGAAAGCTTCATCGGAAACGTTGATTTTGAAATCGCTGGCAAATTGTTCTTCGCGAGTTAATTTAAGTCCGGACATGAGGTCATGCGCATGCTCGGACTTTGTTCTTTCGATAGCTGACTTCATTGCAAAATCCTTACTATTCTTTCACTATCGCGGGATTTTCTCGAATGCCACTTGGCGCTTGTGCACCTGATACTATTTGAGTAATTGCATCTGTTGCGTATTTTGTTATTAACACAATATTTGAATCCAAATATAATTTGTATGTCGACTGTTCATACCGTCATACTTTCATACATGACTGAGAAATAATCTATGTCTATGTAACTGTATTATATGCCTCAGTTTACCCACAACACTTGTACATGTTTGAAATAAAGAGAAACGCGATAGAGTTCACTGACGCTGAAATAGGAACAAATAAATTACAATATGACATATTCTCCTTTGTAATCAGACAAAGACTGTTTTATATTCGACAAAAAAAAAGAAATTGTGAAATACTTTTAACGAATACTAAACATCGCGTTCTAATAGGAAAGACTCGAACCATACGCTTATATGTTCAATGAAGGTAGAGCAGGGGGGCACAACATTTTCTTCTTAGACGGCCGCATTACGCTTTTGTAAAAGGTCTACGGCCGTCCGCGGGATCGAGACTTTTTATTAGCTATATTTATTAATTATACAATTGGCATGTATTGATACATTTTATTGACTTGCGCCTGAAACGTTCATGAAATGGTAAAACATAAATAAATCTTGAAATAAAGACTTTCAGTGGTTAGTATTTCCATCGAATAGGATAATTTTATTGAATGATTTTTTGGATTTCATATACAGTCGGAATGGAACCCAGGACACCGAAGATCGCCACTGACTTCCGCTAGAAATTATTGTGAGGCCAAAGTTGTTGTTGACAGCGCAAGGAATTTTTACTTTACTTGTATATTTGATGATATTTTTCGTCAGCGTTTATTACTTTGCAGGCATTGGGTGAATATTTCCCCGCGGATTCTCCCTATCTCACGAGTATTACTAATTTTTCCGCCGGACATCGAAAGATTCCTAAGCAATCCAAGACAACAGGCCTTTTCAGGAATATTTAAAGAATTTTTGCTTTCGATAATAATTTTGCGAGGCAAATTATAGTCAAGTCGCTGATTGTTTTTGTTAGCTTGATGTGATCATTTAGGCCGTTAACATCGATATTGTGTCTGTAAACTATATTTTTGGAAAATCTCCCTATCTCACAAATGTCCTTTTGCACACGCACGTTTTGCGCCTCAAAGACGTCAATAATCGTTTTTCCCGCCCGGACCTGTGTTCCCAGTGTGAAAAAATTTCGGATATTGCAAAATCGGCAAAATTTAACATTTAAATTGCTATGCTGGAAGCTATATCACAATTACCGATGTTGAAATATTTTTTTATGCCAACGTTGTACCTTCTTACCCATTTTTGAATCATCGTCGTGGTCGCACTCGGCTTTTTTATCGGATAATGATGATCGGACAGGTTTACCACGTATTTGAATGGGACCTCCTGAAGTATGCCCACCAAGATGGCGTACAACCTGAACATGGTATGTGTGTACCGGTTACGGTTCAGGTTGTGCGACATCTTGGTGCGCATACTTCTGGACCACCTTTTAATGTCAGCAAATATTTTACAGTAGAAATGATGCTTTTATTTTGTCGTAGGTCGACCCAATCTCCAATCTACGCACGGACAGAATTAAATCAATATAGAAAAACATTTCAAATTCTCGTATCGGCCATGGATTAAATATTTGAGCAACATAGGAATTCATTATTCGCTGAAAGGCGTCATCTCGAGAAGGTCATTGAACCCTAGAGAATCGGCCTGGTCATGAATGGCTAATCTGTGTCATAATTTGGTTTATGGCTAAAATAAATGTATTTTGGGGGGTCAACAGTATTTCATAGTGGTCTGCATGTGAACAAAACCAATTTCAAAACTCAAAATGTTTGAGTTTACATTATCCATGCTTGATCCGAGTGTTCTTAATTACGGTGACGTCATTATATTTTTTTATGTATAATTTTTATTTTGCAACAAGATTAATTTTATTTGTATGAGTATTTCAAAGCTTAAAAATGAACAAAGAATCTGTTGTTAGTTGAAAATGGAGTATTTTGAACGCGCGAGCAACGTTCTCCGGCTCATAATAAACAAACAAAGATACCAGACAGCACGCGATCAAATCCTCTTCGATAAAACGAATATCACTTCACTTACAAATCCCACTTTTGTTTTATTTTGAAGGTGACGTAAAGCTCTTCCGAAAGAAAACTCTTTCTCTCGCATATCAATCACGTGTCGACCACAGCGTTAAAAGTGAGAAGCTTTTTCTCAAAATTTTTTGAAATTTCTCTTTTCTTACCGTTGTACGGCCGTACACATATACGCTACGTAATTTGGGCGCGTTTTAGTGGAAAGCGACGAAAATAAACTTTTTAAGGACACAATAATGATGTTTTTGGCATTTTTGGTTGGTGAAATATTAAAAAAATTATGGACGGGTGTCAAAATGACCCAGGGACACCCGAGATCATTAGGTTTTAAACAATAGTAGCTATTCTACATAAACGCCAAAAAAAATCTAATTTCATCTGGAAATAAAGAACCGTTTCTCTTTTGACGATATCCCGCTTACAGATAGGCTATTAAAGAATATTTACGACTGTCACTTCTTTATGATCTTGATAAATTATTTCCATTACAGATACAAGCACTGCTATAATTTTCCATAACAGTCAAGCGCCAACATGAAACATGAATTATTTTGCAGTAAAACACACACCAGCACGGCCGCACATTTTACCTTCGACGGCCGCAGGTTGTGCACCCCTGGCTTAGAGTCACTGTTGATTATTGCCATCATAGCGAATGCTGTAACAATACGCATGTTGTGGAAGCTTGGGTAGTAGTTTAATCATTATAGATTAAACAATATTGTATCATATATTTTGTCTTATGAAGGTCCTCGTCATATTTTACCCGTCCACACCCCTCCATAGATGCAACGTATGTCCAATTGAACGACAATTACATAAATTCAACTAAGTATGCTCTGGATGAGTATCGTTTCTACCATCAAAGTTCCATACACGGCTAAAAAAATCAAAGTAACGAGATGCTCACGTCAGTATATGAATGTTATTTTTCCAACGACACCTGCGAATATCTTAAACAAAGAGATGCGCGATAGAGTTTCTTGTCGCATAAAAAGAATAATAGAAACAACACATTACAGAACCACGTACTGATCTTTAGTCAGACAAAGCTTTTTTGTCCGACAAAGAAAGAGAACGGTCTGGATATAATAATCGTCTAAGGGTTGCCCAAAGTATCTCCATTTAATTTTAAGTTACAGTACATCACTGACGTCTATATACCTATACGATTGTTGTTTTACCACCAATACCTGTTAATGTTTTATAAAAAAAAATAAAAATACGACACGAGGTTCCCTTTCGCCACAAAGTAATCATTCTTGAATCTAACCCGATACATTGCACAGAACCCGGACTTGATTAATATTTGTATTACTATTTGTGTTTACAATGTTTCCTTTACAACGAAAATAAATGATCTGAATCTGAATATATGACATAGCCACGAACGTCTTTCGTAATTGTCTCTTTATACAAGACGAACTAATGACGTAAAATTCTGATGCTCGCTACATTACATCAGAAAGGAAATACACCAAAAAGAATATAAATCCTAATTTCTCCGACAGTATGTCCGGAATTCCACATTTCCCCACGTCAGACCCTACATAATTCCAATCTCCACATAACATATGAAAAGTCTTCTGAAGGTAGATATTTAATACAGTCTGTCTGTGGAGTATATAACGTAACACGATAGACCAGGGGCCAAAAAACATTTTGCCCGCCTAAACTGGCAGGCCATGCTCGTGTGACGTGAAAAGTTACATTATATTAACAGAATTTTATTTACAGCGTCATAGTAGAATCATAGGCCTTGTGCCAAAACTAAATTTGATTGCAATCTCAATTTTTTTGCTAAAACATCAGAAATTGGTTTTAGTTTGGTCTGTGGAAATTGCCAAAACATATTTAGGAGGAGTATCTGTCAATTGAGATCTGTTTTTAGATTCGCTGAAATTCATCAGACTGAAGATCTGTTCACCCACTCATGTGGAAAAAGTTAGTCTTTAATAATTTACCTATAAATATTCAGGAATTAAGAATGCAGAAAAGGGAAGGCGGGATGAACACGAGTAGTAGATCATGTATCGAAGACGGTCCTACGTACCACACCTTTCGCCGCAAAACTAAAGTGGTCCTCTGTCACCCCATGTGGTGACGGTCCTCATAACTGATTTTTGCGTCACTGGTCATACTCCTCAGAAAAGTTTTTATTTGACACTGTTACGTGAAGAGTTTGTTAAAAACGAAAGAAACTGCTCGGGGTACGCTCGATCAGTGTTCTCCTTCAATAACAATCAGCCTGACTGAGTGAAGATTTCGATATACTGAAATATCGTTACGTTCACAAAATGAATATGAACGGGTTTGTTGTATTTTATTGCGATTGCAAATTTATAAAATTATTAATATAAACAGTTATATTACAAATGTCTGAAATAAGTATTGATAATAAATAAATTGAAGCACACAATCCAAAAAGACGGTGAAAAAGATTTACAAGATTGCAAAAGATTTACCTTTTACAAGCTTGGCAAAAACTGGACCATGGGATACGCGTTTGCATAGAACAATCGACCATGGTCTGTTTTCACAGTACCCTTCTTGTTCCGCTGTCTGCGATGAAAAATGATAATAATTTCAATACAATAACCCTCGTTATAAAATTAGCCACATTTGCTGCACACTTCGTGGTGCTCGTAAAGTTTTGCTACAAAATTTCGCGTCTTTTTTCAATAACAAATTCTGCTGCTTTCCCAATGGCTGAAGCCTTGAAGCTAAAAAATAACATAGTTCCAGAGTATAAGTATAATGAATGTTACGTGAAACGACTCTGGGCGCGATCAAATGTGTTTTTCGCTCTTGATCGATGGACCCCAGACGTCTGCGCAATCGTGTTTTAAACTGGTTAAGGGTCTT